GGAGATTATCGACAACGTATATAGATCCGTTAAGTGGTGACAGATCTGAAAGATTTCCGGTGCGATTACGGGAAATGAAATGTTTCTGAGATGAAAAAGCAGAGATAAAAAAAGCGGTGTAATTTCGATGCGGTCAGATTCCTATGTTTATCCCATAAAATATGTCTTAATCATAGGCATTATCTCCCGCATATTCATAGCAGAAAAATCAGTTCTCATTAATATATATCATACCACTTTCAAGTTATTCTTAGTTTTCTTCAATATTATTGTTAAATCGGTCATATGTGCGTGTCGGTTTTCATTAAAAGATATTTTCCCGTGGCGAACGTTTTTGCACACGAGCCAAAATCTCGTTTTACGTAATTTAAAGTCTCGCTTATTTGCGGAACAGTTTTTTCGTACGTAAAGAAAGCCGATAACATTATCTATGCGCACGCGATTCATCTTGTCGGTATCGAAAGAGGCGTGGCATGTACAATCACTATCCGTAACAATATTATGTCGGTATCCAGACGATAACTCCGAATTATTTATAAATAACGTTATTATCCCAAGACCTGACAAAGTTGCCAATCGTTGGGCGCGGGGGAACGTGATAAATTCACAACGCTGTTATTCTCGCAGTTTTGCGTGAGAAGAAAAGTCAGACTTATTATTGCGGCATTTATCGGCGCTGACGTCTTGTTAAGTTCCGCTCAACAAAGGTCGCGTTCAGCAGAGAAAACTGTTTTGCAACTGTTGTTGCAAAATTTGTGAATTTGATTGGTGCTGATATACTTTCAATTTTGGCTGAAGTTAAAAATATACACCGATCAAATTCACGAATTGTACAACAGTTGCAAACAGCTTTCTCTGCTGAACGCAGCACAATTAAAAGCAAGAAGATCTCGATGATCGCGTTATTTGCGGAATATCACATTATTCCGATTCATAAACGAGCTGCGCTTACCGCATTCGAATTCTTCGCACGTCGCAAAAAATTACGATTCAACAAGTCGCCTTCGTGACATCCATGTCAACACGAATTGACATGTATTGAATTGCAAATTAGTATTACAATGATAATATGCAAGTGCGGGAAAAGAGGCGTAAGGCACTGAAATAAAAATTAGTAAGTGTCAAATTTTTTGTGCGTATGTTAAATTTTTGTGTATAATTGCTTTGCCATTAATGCACTTCAAATTTTGCATTATGCATTTTTATAAATGTTCTTCTCTCTTCTATTCTTTAAATTTCTGTATATATATAAATTATACCGATTTTGTGTTAACGTACGAAAACGCCACTGAAAGTCTGATGATTAGAACGGATCCGTTCGAATGATGTAACGTGCGAACGGTTTTAAGAGAGGAGTGACGACCTACTTGAATTGTGCTCGCGAGTTAAAACGATCTGACGCGAATCAGGAATTTACGATGCTTTTTGTTTCTACTGCATGATTTCTGCTGCTTTAATGCCCGCGAGGCGATACGTGAAAGAAAACTTTAAAGCATGTAACAAAACTAAGGTCAAGAGCTATCTACGAGTGAAGGCAACGTTTTATTCGCATATTAATAATACAATAATGCTTATCTAAGACGTTTTTTACAATGCAATTATCTCTAAAAACAGTGATATTACGCAAACGATTGCACAAGCAATTTATCGATATTCTTTTAGAGAAAGCATATATAAAAATTATAAGAGACTTAAAATTTAGCTTATTTTGTAAAACATTTTCACACAAATGGCAAGCAGTAATGTTTGTCAGAATTCATATCTTATCCTATATACATGGCTAGTTCAAGGCGAATCTATACAAGATGATAAATTGAATAACAATATTTTATTAAGATCGGATAAATTTTATTTTAAAAAAATCCCCTTTTGTGTAATTATTAGATACATCTTTGCACAGAGCGACCACGTTTTGGAATAACGGAAATGAAAGCTGTTTCTTTATTCTTCTGACGAGATTTCTAATAATCTGCAATCGGCGGAATGTTTACAAATTAATGCGGGCTCAATTTTTGAATTTTCGGCGTTCGGCTCTATCGTTAAATCCCATATCCAAATATTCGACGCCGTTTCGTCATCTGGCTGGATGCTGCTGGTTTGACGTATTGCCGTTATCGGACTTTCCAACGATTTTGCAATTACCCGATGTCAGTTATTAACGACCGATTACGCGTGCAAACATACGCATATCGCGCGTGCGAATACATATTCACATACGTGCGTGGCGCGCGCCTGTGATTTGGATAAGTTATATCGCTCTCGTGAATGATAAACATGTGGGAGGAGACAATCGCGAATTTCAATATCAATAATTCTAAATCGTATCAAATTGATTCTTGTTTCATCGACTGTATATACATTTAATAAATCGTTTTAATTGATAGAAATATTCTTACCTTTTAAATCAATGTATATTGCATTATCTAATTGCAAATTTCGACACCGTTAAAACAATGTGTGAAAAGAAATTTAAAAAAAAAAAAATAATTCAACGTAGCGTTTTAAATTACGCGATAGATATGTAATCAAATATTTATGTATGTAATTAATTATGTTATCTGTTGATGCGTCATACGATCTTCTGACGTATCGAAAACGTGGAAATTTACTTATTTGAAAAAAGTTTAATATCATCAGAATAGAATGTACTGCACAAGCATTATTACTATAAAAACATTTCGTTTTCATCATCCTTTTTTCCTCGTCGTTACGCGTCGGAGTGAAAGTAGCCAAGTAAATCCTAGGCGACCGTTGCATCAGAATAGAGCTGACGAAATTTGAAATCAGCATGAGATGAAAACAAGGAAAGCGATATGGTGGGAACGATAATTTTTTTTTTTTTTTTAGAGATAAAGCTTAGCCGGCGACGCAGTAAAAATTAAATAATAAAATAGTAAAATATTGCATTAACGTCTGAGAAATTGTCGAAAGTGTAATTGATCATCACGTTTGATTGCAACACCATTATACATTTTTCTACACACATCATAAAATGATTACCGATGTCGTTAAAATATCCTTACTTACCGGAATTTACACCTTTTTTATGTTTGAAAAATTATGCTTAAATTCTTTCGGTGTGATATTTAGTAAGGTACTATATTTTTATTATTATATTGTATTATATTACTTTATACTTTATATATAAGATATCAATGCTTTATATATGTAGATTCCTATTCGCGGCACGCGTTGATTCGCGAAGTTCGCCAATAGAGAGACGGAGTTTTGCTATCGCATCAATAAAGATTATTGGAGACGACGATAAAACATTAACTTTGCAAGAATGTGTCACTATTAGTAAATAATTCTTGTAATCACGTGTACGCGATATACGAGGGTACATTGAGCGATTCCCCTCAATAGTGTCTAACGAGTGACACGCGCGAGATTGTCAATGCGCGACATATTTCATCATTCATTCACGTAATTATTCGCTCGGTTACATCATAATTGACACAAGCGCACCTTTGGAAAAGGATCCGCGAGTGTATGTCGCGAAGAAAACTATCACTAACTTCTGATAACTTCTAATCTATAATACAGATTACCATTTCGTTCACGGAGAAAATTTTATAGTAAATATTACTATGGTGTCGCACTAGCTGCGGACCATCGAGGAATTTCAAGTTAAAATACTACAATTATTGTTTTAAAAACGATAAAATAACGTAATTTTTACCATAAACATAGTAATTTAACTTAAAATTCCTCGATGGTCCGCAGCTAGTGCGACACCATAGTAATATTTACTATAAAATTTTCTCCGTGTTGTGTGTTCACCTGCACCTTTAGTCTACTATCTCAAGAGCATAAATTTGTATAAAACGCTCTTAGAATGATAATGCTCAGAAACTTTTAGATATTATTTTCAAGAAATTTTGAAATGCAGCTTTATCTGGAAATACTTGTCAATGGTTTTAAGAGACTCGAGATAAGAGACCGAAATGAGAATTGGGACAGATGAAGAGGGATAGATGTATGAGGGTATCGATATCGCACGCACGCTGATTAGATGCGAGCAACTATTGAGGCAGTTGTCGCAGGAAAAGACACATTTACGCCGATGTTATATTGATAGGTGTGTTTATGTTTAATAATTCTGCGGTATCTGTGTTTTTTAAGAAGATTATCGTTTTTAGTCGCGCGCGGGTGAAAGACCTTAGGGAAATCACGAAAACAGAATGAATTGGGATGCGAAAAGTGAGCGACGAGAAAATTTGGAGAAAAATGTGCAATATTTGAATATTATTCTTACTATTCTTTTTTTGTGTCAATGATTTGGATAGCGCGATAATGTGCTTGTTCGAGAAGTTATGAAAGGACGGAAGAATTATTGTGAAACGCTGATATAAATTACGATAAGTGGGGAATAATTAAGGTAAAACATTTCTAATATATTTTAAATATTTAATAAATTATTTATAAAATGTTATGAAAAATTTATAAAAAAGAACAACCGAATTGCAAAATATGACTACCATTTCTGGAATTCATACATATTGCGTGATGCAAATAAGAGAAAGCAAAATTATTTTGGTTTTTGACACATTAACGCTCAAGAATGTTTTGTAAAATTCTATATGCTAATTGCTAATGAATTTTTTTATCTCGCTACTTTCTTTACTTATCATAAAGGGAAGTTGTGATAATCTTCATTTCCTGCATTTGTTTGTATTCCGGATTTGGATATCTGAACTCTTTTTTAATCTTATATATTATATACAATATTTATACTTATAATTCCTCATAACAATTAGATATGTTCGAACTCCAAATATTACGTCCCGTTCAAATCTATATAGTCCATATTTTCAATCAGCGGCAGAATAGCCGCGGTAAGTCGCGGTATCGGATTGGTAAATATCATCAGGGGAACTATTTAGTCAGGGGAATTCTATTTACATTCTAGTATATGTGAATATGTATATTTCTTTTTGTATACGAAACGATTTTCTGACGCAACGTGTTATCGCTAAATATAAAAGGAGGCATAGCCGAGCGCGTTGTCAGTGTTGACGAGGGTAACAGAAGCGTTCACTTTAGAAGGATGTGTTCTTGACGAGTTTATCTGCTTCTTACCTCTCGGAAAACAGTATTAATACAGAGGGAAGAAGAGAGCACAGACGTGCACACAGAGTGCACGTTTAGACCTTCCAAATTGTGGTTAATACCACTGTGGCAATCAAGAACAATCGATTCATTTAACAATACAATTAACACTGTGTCAACTGTGATTGTGTATCGAAAAGTAGTATACTTGAACTCAGGCGCGATCAATAACCAATCAATTTTACTAATAAACACGCCTAATCAATTCGGAGGTTGTAGATTTATAAGAGATTTACGAACGAGTGCACCGTAGAACAGAGAAATGGATTATTCTTACTTCATGACGGACGTCGCCAAACGCAGGCGGCCTGCCACGACGCGGGAGCTAAGTAAGCAGCCAGCTTTTCTCTTTATTCTCGCGCAGCTTGAACGTAACGCAATAATCAGTAACGAACAGAATAAAGTAAACCAGCGAACGATTCGATTTATATCTAATTATCAATAATTGCAAACTCTTTTATGATAGATTAATAAGATCACCAAGATAAAAAATTTGCGCACTAAATTGATAAGTTAACTTTATGATCGCATAATTAATTGCAAAAATACTAATGTCAGAATATTAACGTCTTAATTGTCTTGATAAATTTAAGGATTTTAATCGACAACGGAGGATTTTTTAACTGTTCCAGCTAAAATAGCGTACTCCGCGCCGAAAAGTATCATTTCCTTAGCAGAAGGAATGCCCAACGAAGAGACGTTCCCGTTCACGGAAATTTCAGTTAAACTCTACGATGGTTCGTCCTTTACTCTGGACGATGGCGAGTTAGGTGCCGCTCTTCAGTACATACCCACGCAAGGTTATCCTCCTCTTGTGCAGGTAGAAAAGATCCTCCAGCAGAATTTTTAATTTCCAAAAATATTCCGTGTATATAAAAAATTGTAGAGATAGCATAGCTCTCCGTTTTTATACATTCATATTTAACTTGTCGATTAGAAGGGAAATAAGAGAAACATAAACGTGATAAAACATAACGAAGATAAAGATAAGAAAAGACGAAAGTCAAAAGCCATTTCGAGAATAAGCCATTAAATGACGTTCTGATTATGTCACACGTACATTGTTTGCGCGCCTCATGTAATCGACCGTGTCGTTACACCCGGATTCTTTCGTTCCCGAGATAAGGGAATCGGCTGACAATGTGTCTAACAACGTCGGACATCAAATTGGTTTCAGGCCTTGAGGGAATTCCAGAGAAGGGCACACGCGCCACCCTTATGGGAGAGTCGCGACATAGTCGTCGTTTCGGGGTCTCAGGACGGGCTTAGCAAGGCTCTGGAGGCTATAATCGGCACTGGTGATCCGATTTTGGTCCCCGACCCTTTCTATCCTGGCGTCGAAGTTGTGGTTAGTGAATATAGATATGCTTTCATTAGAGAAAGAAATTCGAGAAGTATATCCCGTACGTGTACGCGCGTCGCGTCGCGTCGTTTTAATCCTTTTAACTACGAAGTGTACGATAAATAATAATTTGTATACAACAGCGATAAAAAAGACTTTTTAAAAACTTTGTAATATGATTTTATTCATTTTTGATATTGAACGTAGAGAATCCGCACAAGAAATAAAGAAAATATCTTTTATATTTAATATATTTAATATCTCTTATATTTATATTAAGAATGGGTGTAATAACGCTATATTTCTATGTTAAATCTGCGTTCGATTTGATCTAATTTACTTTAAATTTACTTAAAAAAAAAAAAATAAATAAATAAAAAAAATTTTCTTCTTTTTTTAAATTATATCAAGATGCTCGGCATTTATTTGTTATTTCAAAATTTCGTTACTACAAATAATACGGGTGTTGATTTCGATCATAGATAGCACCTCACAAAGCGGAGCTTATAATGATCCCGCAAGACGACGACGGTCCTATTCCGGAAATACTCCGGGAGACTCTGAGAAACCGGGAGGTTTTCGGCGCAAAAATGCCGAAAATAATGTATATAAACGCTACGGGCACGAACCCTACCGGCATCATTATACCTCTGGAAAGACGAAAGGAGATCTATAGGATAGCCTGCGAGTACAATTTCTTGCTTCTCGACGACGATCCTTATCATTTCATGCATTTCGACAAGGTGAGTCATGAGGTTTCATATATGCGACAAACGAATGTGTTATTTTGACGTGGATGGCATATAAAGAAATTAAGCCGGCCACATAAATATGAACGTTAATAGAGGTATTAATAGACGTATAAATATACATGCGTTAATATTTATTATGCAAATAATTATACCGAAAATTGCTTAAAAAATGGAACTCTGCAAAATGCAATAGTATTTTGTAAACGGACCCGCAGATTACAGTGCAAATTAGATGAGTTTACTATATGATGTATCTTTGACGTAATATCGTCACAATTTTGCATAAACGTAAATTAAATTTTGAATGACCTACGTGACAGCATTAATTTTTATATCTTTTAAAGTTGTCGAAAATATGATAAAATGCAGTAGCAATACACTCGAAGCGGAGATGAGATATATCTGTTAATTACAATATACATTAAGCACTGTATTAAATATGTTATTAAAAATTTATAGTGATATATACAACGAACTCGCATATCATAAATGTCTTTTATGTTTCACAATCTTTATCGACATTTGAGATAGAACGCAATCGATATTTGAATTTTCAATATAACTGATATATTATGCAAAATTATATATATTTATAAGATTATAAGTATTATGTATATAATATTTATATAAAATTAAAATAAATACTAGTAAAGAGACTTCCTTCACCGTAAGAATAAAAAAAGAAATACGATAACTTTTAAAATAAAATGTATTCTTTCTCAGGAGGATCCTAAGTCTTTTTTATCGCTTGATACGGAAGGTCGAGTAATTAGGTTGGATTCATTCTCGAAAGTGATCAGCAGTGGTATCAGATTAGGCTTTATGACCGCCGCGGCTCCGCTGATAGCCTGCGTAGAGCTCCATTTGCAGAGCAGCCACCTCCATGCTCCTACCTTATCGCAGGTTGGTAGAGATATCCTTTACCCTTTGCAAAACCCTTCGTGACCCTTCGACGCCCTTCGTTACCCTTACTTTTCCGTGTCGTTGGTAACGTATGAATATCGTGCAAAATTCTAAGAATGTATAAAATTTTAATTAACATCAGAAGTTTATATTCTCAAATTTTATTTTAACTTATCAGTGTTAAAAATTAATCATAATCCTTTTTTATTAATAACATTATATTAATTTTAATATACACACATGAGTAGAATACGTTAGATAACGCGATTCGAATGTTTGTAGTTGAATGCAAAGTGAAAGAATGAATTTATTGTACTTTTTATACACATGAGAAAAACGAGCGATGACCGTAAATATTATTATCTGGAATGATGAAACGTCGTGAAATGTGGACGCACGCCTTCGCTTAATCATCATCCATAAATCAAACCGACAGTGGCGCGTGTCGGGTCTTATCGAAATTGTAAACATTGACCGTTTTATCGCATGAAAAAGAAATGGTAAAGAAATAACTGATTGGATTTTTTAGGTAATAATGTACAAGTTGTTGAAGATCTGGGGTTACGAAGGCCTGATGCAACATTATACAAGAATAAGGTGCTTCTACAAGCAAAGAAGGGATGTTATCTCGGCGTTGGCACGCAAGCATTTAAATGGTGAGTAATAATTAATAATAATGAGCGATAATTAATGATAATTAATAATATTAGTAATTAATAATAAATATTAATAATGCTCTTGATATATACACTTGATGATAATTTATACTTAACTTTATAATAACTTCTTATATAACTTCTTATAATTAATAGATAATTTCTTAGAATACATGTGATCTTTGTATATTATATATACGTATATAAGAAAATTAGATAGTTGGTAAGTCACCGCAATTAAAAGATAAAAAAAAAATGACGATTTGTGTTTTATTAGGTTTGGCGGACTTTAGCGTACCAAGGGGTGGATTCTTCTTATGGATTAAAGTGCGAGGAATCGAGAATACATGGAAGATGATAATGCAGCGGGGTGTAACGGAAGGAGTTATTATGGCGCCAGGAGGCGCATTCATGAGAGACTCTAAATCCTGCAACGCCATCAGGGCAAGTTTCGCCAAGGCTTCCTATCAGGAAATGGATCTGGTAAATTCAAACTCTATAACTTTTATATACATATATTGTATTTATTATTATATATATGTTAATTTTTACTTATATATATTATAAACATTAATTAATATTTTAACATAAAATTAACAAACATTAAATAGATTTAAATCACATAAAGATAAATGTTTATTTTCCCACAATATACTTTAATCATAAATTTGAACTATTGATTATTAATTAATCATAAAAGTTAATGTAAATTAATTATAACAAATAATAAAATTTAAAGTAAACATATTAAAGTCAAATGTTTGAGCGTATCAAATTTAGGCGATTTAAATTATTGTTTTGTTAATCTTTTTCTCATGTCGATCTATTTCATCTTATCGACGTACAGCATCTAATCTATCGACGGTGAATAAAGTTTCGTCGAAACACACATGCTATCATCATTGCTGCTAAACGAATTGACTCTCGAATATTTATGTCTATACTTATATTTCAGGCACTAGAGCGATTGGCGCAATTAATCCAGGCGGAGTTAGCCGAAAATTACATTGAAAATATTGACACGTGATAATATATTTTGTATATAATATATTATCAACAAATAATATATTTGTACATGACTACACGGTTGATATTGAAGTTAACGAGCATCAGTTGGTAATAAAATAGAGTGATAGGACTGGAAAGATATTATCAATTATAAGTAAATTGTTGAATGTTAAACGGTAAAAAGAAATGTATCAAACATTGATAAAGAATTGGGCAAGTTATGTTAGATCGAGATGAATTTTATACATCTTCGTCATTTTTAGAACGTAGTCTCGAGTTTCGTTAACAGAGGACATTGCATAACTAAAACAGCTACTTTGCGCATTAAGTTTTTATTTATTTAATATTATAACAATTAATATTTTAAAAATTTATTATTTTATTATACAAGCTTTCGTACAAGAAATATATGGTATTTCTTACATGTTGTTTATAACAACACATTTAGTTTCAGCGTGGGATAACAGTAGCTCGATTAATCTCATAAAATCTTGACAAATGCGCATATTATTAAGCATATCAAAAATTAAATTAAATTAATACATTAAATCCATTTAAATCTCAGGCATATGTTGCATCGCTACATTCACGGTAGATTATATTTTTATCTTTCTATTTAAATTTTTGTAGAAAAACGAAACTAATTAATGACATCTTTTTTTATTTTTTAACATATTTTATTTTACATTAAATTTTATCTTCTGTGACAAACGTGTTAATTTATATTGTTAAGTAAATGTAATTGTTTAATTAGAAAAAAACCATTGTTTTATTTTTACTATTTAGAAAGACCACGTAGGTTATCTAAATATTTAATTAAATGGATAAAATATTGTACTTAAAACTTTAGATAACGTTTATACATATGTTTGTATATAAATAAAAGTTTTTTGTCATTACAACTTTATTATTTATTATAATTGAAATTAGCGGAATATGCAAAATAAAAATTTAACATATCTTTATATGAATTACACTTGATTTATTACGAAAATGTTACAAAAAAGAACTCGTTACCTTTTTAAAATATCAAGTCACTTAATAACTTCAATTACAGATAATTCTAGTAATAATAGTTTAAGAAATATTTTTCTCTAGACTAAATATTATTCTTGTTTCTCGATTCTATTCTGATAGCACATAATTTGATAATTTCAGAATTTGATTTTATATTATCTAAAAAAAATAAATATGTAATAAAGGGGTAGTAAATTAAGGGATGGGAAAGGGAAATGAGAGGAAATGATTGTGCGAAGGTGAACGCAAGAATAGTGCGAGTAATATTAGACAGTAAAAGTAGAACAGAGAGAGAACAGACCTTCACTTAACGCTAAACATCTTAACTACCAATTAATTTGCCAGAATTCATTTAATCTGTTGCAATATAAGGCAAGATCTGTTTTGCGGTTTGCTTGCTTTAGCACTTTTCTCGGCTTTTATTTGTTTTGGGTATATGTAAGAAACCTTTCGAATACCTCCATTCTTTAATCTTGACGGTCTCATAGTTTGAATAATATCTTGCCGTTTGTTTAGTTAATTAGAATACTAATAGCGCGCAACTTGTGCTGTGTAAGCGCGTTATGTATGATGCGTATATTCCTTAGAAGTACCTATCAACTTTAATGAATCAAGCTAACAAGTAAACTAGATACGCAAGAAAAGTAATAACAAGTGTAACGATAATTTTAAAAGAAATTTATGGGAATATTCTTTTTTTTCTTCAATGTTTAAAGTGGATGTTAAATGTTAAGTGTTAGATGTTAAGCAATAAATTTAGAACATAACTTTTAACTATCTTTTCTTAAAAACAGTTTAACATTCTCTCTCTGTTTCTCGTTCACTTTCTTTTTTTCTCTCGTAAGCTTTTATTAAATTTAATAACTTACCAGTTTTAACACAATTTTATTTCAGAGTAATAAAATCAAGCAAACGCGCGTTCATACTGCATGATAATGTGTATAGGGTGAGTTTCACGACAGATTCGAGGGAACGAGCTCGTATCAAGGCACAAATCGGTTTCTTCGTATGGCGGAAGGCCATGAGGATAAACACACAGCCCCCCGAAGATATAGTGTATATTAAAAGACGTTTTGCGGCGCTGCTGGGAAGCTATACGGATGTAGCCGATCATACGAATGGCCACATTTTCGCGAGAGTGGGATTTGAAGAAAAAAAACCCAGAAAATACACTTTCGTTTTTCGTACTCGCGGAATCGCAGCGTGTTCAACGTGCTGTAATTCCCGTTGATTGACATGATCAAACTCACTCTTACCCTTCTCTCAAATTTTATAAAAATTAAATTAATTACTCGATGGTCATTTTGTCATACACAAGCATCTGTTTATTGTCCGGATGCCTACGTTTATGCAGAGAAATTTTTTTCTGCAGTAAATTATAATAAACATGGTTGCTAAAAAATTATTATGAAGTTTTTAAATCTAATAGTATTTTATTAACGCGAGGAAAATCTAATCTATATAAATTTGTTTTACATTAATTTATATTAATATATACATAAGAATTTTTTAGCCAAAAAGATATAAAGTTTTCTTTTCTTATCTCTTTCTTTGTTTTTTTATGCAGTATTTACTTTAATTATTTCTTAAATCCATGCAACAAATGTTAATTAAAATATCAACAGAAAAATTTCTTAATTTATAATTTAATTTCGTACTTAATAAGATCCTTCAATAAGATTTTTAAACAATTTTATCTGTATGTTAAATTTAGAATAATTCACGTATGTTTCAAGATCGAACTGATCGACATAGCGCAAAGCGATGATGATAGTATCTTATACAGATCGTGCCTTTCTTAATTTCCTTTAAAAAAAGTTAGTATTTTAATCAACCAATCGTACCAAGCGCGCTTTCTTAAATAGAACTACACTTCCTCTTTGATGCTCGCGAAGACAACGGTCCGATATAATGGTCCGATATAGAGCAAGAAGATAGGGGCTCGGGAGCCAAGGAAGAACGGCAGAGGGCGAGAAAGACAGAGAGAATTCTCAGGATCCGGCAGTGCGCCCTTAGTCGCAGCGAGTGCTCGTGGGAGCCGCTATCGCTTCCGTCTCACCGAGGTTCGCCGGCGGCGCGGCGCTCACCGCGGGAGCCGCCGTCGAGGGGGTTATTCCCTGGAGGTGGATGAGATCGGTGAGGTGACTCGGGCGGAGGCGGGAGAGAAGGCGCACCAGACTCGTGGGTCGGTCGGTGGGATCTCATGGGGCGAGGGGAGAGAGAGGGAAGAGGGGGGGAGTTGAGAGAAACGGAGGGACGGTGAAAGAACCGGGAGAAACGGACGGGGTGGTGTGCCAGAGAGTATGAGAGCAAGACGGGAGCGAGGAGGGGTCGGTAAGGGTGCGCGAGGGGTAGTGCAGTTTCGTGTTGGCATTACTCTTGATTTCCGTGGTGACGTCGCTACCTCGCCAGCCCTCTTCCTCCCGTCCGCCCCCTTCCACCCCGTCGCTACCCACCACCACCTCCTCCTCCACCTCCTTCTCTCTCCTCCACCTTTGGCGGCCTCCAACCCTACCTTTCCCCGCTCCCGCACCTCCGTATCTTGTGTTTTACCATTTCAGCGAAGGCCACCCACCCCTCGTACTACAGGGAAAGAGCACCCACCCAGACTATCTGGGAGAGATAGATCCTTCCGCGCGCGCTACCCTATATACCGTCCACGGTACGAACATATCGCGTGGGATGATATTTCTCCTTCTATTGTCTTCAGCCCCGACGCGACGTGACCGTTCGCCGACGGCCAGCCTCATAGAGAAGGACAGGTATTATGTCACGTCAAACATTCTCTTCTTCCCGGTCATCGCTGGAATAATAAAAAAATTAAGTAACACCACGTATATGCGAGTTGTCGCGAGCTTAGGATTTAAGCGAGATTAGACCGATATTGGAGGAAACGCAAAAAATTCAATCTTGCGTTAATATCAAATCAACTCAACATTATTTCTTCGCCGGGTCCTGAGAGTTTCTAATCGAAACGTAGAATATTGTTTTCTGACAATTCCATTCACAGTGATTTTGGTCTAGTCGATGCAATTAGACTAATGGTCTAATTTACTGCTATGAAAGTAATTTTCAAAATCTAACGAAATCTAATTTCGTAATCTTTAATCTCGAATCAAACAGTTGAATCATCTCATTTCACATCTATTTATTCTTCGATTTATCTTATTAAACAATTTTAACATTTTTTATATCAAATATAAAATACATATTATTTTTTATCATCGCTCATAACGCGATCATGGGTCATTTCGCGCGATTTTTAACATCCAAGTCTACGGGGGCTACGATCGAGGAATCCCGAAATCAGACTCATCCTTGCTCGTAGGGAACAAGCGGCTATTTTAACGCCGCCGAGACACAGCCGATATCTCACGAGTGTGCGGTTTTTATTGTCCCCGGCTGGTATCTTCGTCGGCGACGTCGGCCACCGGCAGGAGAGGAGATCTGCAACCTGCAGCCATTATATCACGCGTAAAAATTCCTGCTTTACGAAGTCGGGAAAGGGATAACCCATCCTCGGACCGTCTCGCGCGTCTCGAGAAACAGCGAAGGGTGGTAGGTACGGTACTTCTCTACCTACGAGCCCCTATCTCTTGTCCGCCACCGTCGTTCGTTTTCCTAACGTCGCGGCCGGAGAGGGCGGACGCGGTGCTGCGAAGCTCGCTTGTTTGTCTCTCGCGGTTACGTACGGGCTTCCTGTTTTTAAATCGTAGCCGATGTACGACAACGTCGACGTCTACGCCGATTTATACGCGGCGTGTGACCCTCCCTTTCGTCGAGATGCATTGATCTCGGGATACAGCCGTCGAATTACCGTGTAGATTCACGTAGGATGTCTACACGGATCATTATTTTTATCTTCGAATAAATAAATGATATTACACTTTGCATAAAATTATTAAAAAGTTGGCGAATGCTGCCAATAACCTGCAGTAACCAAAATTAAAATTTTATTTTGTGCAAATTGTTTTGTACAAAAGAAATGCGGATATTATTCGACCGTGCTTGATTCCTTTCTGTTCTGTCGTTTTTACTATTGGCCGTTTCTGAGTTCGTAAATTCGTCAAGTGACCAAACGGTGAAGTAAATCAAATAAATCGGCATAATGCGTTAGAGTTTATTCATCACCCGATGACAAGGATCTTAGAATGAGTTGTTGGTCAGTTTTATTTTACAACTGTTAATGGACTTTGTTACAGGAATATGTACGGGAACTATGCGCGATGAACGGTACGGACATATGCATATTTTATCGAACTATCTTGCGGTCATACAATATGATGAAAATATCAAAGTATGGGAATTACGATAAAACAAGCTTCGACTTGCCTAATGTAGAGTGCATTATTGGACATAATAATGACACACGCAATTTCGCTCGTTTTGAGAAACAAAAGGCAAGTTTATACGGGAGTCTAATTTTACATGGTAATACCTAACTATTTTACCGCGCTGCTTCTCGATACGGAGGCAAAAACTCGATATTTATTTTAGTCGTTTCATCAAACAGTCACGCGACGCAAACTGGCATACGTCAAATTTTATTTTTGTTGACTCTTATTGCGAAAGCTGTCGAAAGACTTAATTATATGTTGCGAGCGTCATTTGCCTCATTCTTTCTCGCGAGA